ATTACCTGAGACTCCATCTACTTAGCACAATGCTTAGCATACAGTAAGTGCTCAATAACCATTGGCTATTATGATTCTCTAAGAAATCCCAATTTATTATTTAAATGAGCTACTCTATTTAAGGCATTTATTACAGTGCTCAGAACACACATTAAGGCACACAAAAACACACAAAGCTGGTGCTATTATTCTTATTTTCTTCGCTGGGTATTGTAAGAAATTATGCCAATAAACTCACCTTATGAATTCACACTTCAGAGGTGAGTCAAAGCACTTTCATATTTTAGGATTTTGCAGAGGCATTTATTGCTTATATAGTTATCTCAGAAGTAAAATTCAACCAAATTCCCATAGTGTTCCTGTAATTCCAGTTCCTTAAAAGTATATGAGGTAGCATAAAACATTCTACAATCCTCATTCCCCTCTCTCCCTTTTCAACCCAACAGCCTGTACTCTGTGTCGTGCCTCCTGGCTCTAATAGATCCTCTCATCACTGCTGTGGTCCATGTCCCACATTTCGCCGACGGAGAGAGACACAGGATTATTAGCACTTTCGCAAATCTGAGAAAGAACAGAAGTTACCCGATGTCACTGCATCAAAACTGAGTTGGTTCCTTTAATTAGAGATGTAAATTCAGATACAAAGGTGGCAGAAAAATATGCACCCTGATATCCACGGTAGTAAAGGATTTTTTTTTTTTTTGCCTTGTTCTGCTTTTTCCAGTGGGTAATATCAATTAAGACAAAGACGTGTTGTAAAGGAAGGAACGAAGGGATGGATTAAAGGTTGCATTTAGGAAAAGTTGCCGTTGTCCATTGGGGTGCGACTCTAACCAACTTAATTTTCTGGCATGCTTAACTTAATTTGGCAAATGGTGCTTCATATTAGACCACTGCTTTCAAAGAAGCATGTTCTAGCTCTACTTCCTTTGTCCAAAGCGCAGAGGAATAAAAAATGCTTTTGTTCTTTGACTAGAATTTTAGCTCTGTTCCTTTGCCTCTCTTTCCTCTACCTAAATCCCAACCCCATCTTTTAAATTTCCCCAACAGCTCCAGCTAACACAAACTTCACCTTTCCCACCCACCCACAGCACTTATGTAATCTGTTCCACATACTGGTCTCTTCGATATATTCAGTTTTGCAATTGATAAGATTCAGTTTGGATTGATCTCTCCTCAAAAATCCCCTTCAGAGCTCTCAGTTACCTAAAATAGATAATTACTCTTAAAAAGTACACTGCATGGACACACAGAGAGTGACATCAAGTAAAAAAATATAATTCTTTTTTAGCACTGTGATAATAATCACACAATATGGATAGGCAAATCAAGACTGTTTGGTATCTTGCACTGATTTCTTTCTTTCTAGTGATTTTTCTTTGTTACTTTTTTCCTTTTATTCCTTTTGGGGTGGGGTGGTAACAAGATAAACATTTATAAAAATGTAATCTAGCATTCTAGGTCTGCTGGCTTCAAGAAATACTCTGAGCCACCTAATCCTGTCCTGGCCAAGCCATATGTTTCCTCCCCTAAAATACTGATCATATAGAAACTTGGATTCAGTAAGCCAATCTCAATGCTTATAAAACAAAAACAAAAATAAAAAGGCAACAAAACAAAAAATAAGAAATTCTATACATTCTTTGAAGTCCACGGGAACAATAAAATTTCTACCAGTGGTTCGGTGTTCTTTGCCTGAGTTTCTAGGTTGCATGAATCCCGTGGGTCACATGCCACTTCCCTTTTTCTCCAGCAGCCGAGGCTGCAGGTGGATGAAGGAGAAAAGCAAAGGACTTGGCTTCCAATGCCATCACGTGCCCACGGCTGCACACAAAAGCAATTCAGGACATGTGTTTTTCTTTCCCTGGCACCTAGATTATCCTGATAAATATCCTTTCCCAATTGGAAAAAGAAAATCTAATGTCTCTGAGAAGATAAGTAACAGAGATGTCCAAAAGCACTGTAATGGTAACTCGAGCCTGGCATTTTCAGTAAATTTTGCTCTACTCTGAAGGAAGACACAAGCTGAGTTATATCCCCAGAGGATGATAAATATTTTATCTTTGCCTCCCTTTATACACAGGAGTTTCTTTTAAAGCCATGGTGCATTAGGTAGACTCTCCAGAGGGCAGCCAGCAACCTCTACTCAGAGAAACACAATGTTGCATTGGGTTAGGAGGTGGGGTTTAAGCAGAGGTCTTCACCCTGTACCTGCTTCCAAATAAAAATCATGCTTTTGGAAAGCGGGGATGACTCCCAGCTCCACGACATGCTAATAACTGTGCTGCCTGGGAAGGTTACTTTACCTTGCTAAGCTTCAGTTTCCGCATCTAAGAAAACAGAGACTGTTCTCTGTGTTGAATGAAATAAGGTATGTCCAGTGCTTAGCAAGTACCTAGCACAGAGGAAGGGCTTGATAAATGGTGGCATTTGTGTCCTCAGCACCATAACATTTAAGTCCATGCCCACATTTTTTTCTGTGTGTTCTTGAATGGAGAATCCATTGAAAACCCACAGCCAAGGGTGAATCCAGCCCACCAGTAATGCTATCAACAGAGTCACTTCTTCTCTCTCTCTCTCAAGGTATCTTAACATTATAGAAGCTAGAACCTTCTAAGGGAATCCATTACATTCTCTTAGGGAGTCGTTGGGGCTGGAAAATCTTAATCTTGAATTCTTATCTCTTTGCCACCTCCCACCCCCCAATCCTCCCACTGGATATTTAGAACTCCTTGTAAACTTCACAGGTTCGAGATGCATTGAGATCTGTAGGAGGTGTTGGAGGAAAAGGGGGGACTGGGATGTTAAAAATCAGGGCAACAAAAATACCTATGATGTCATTTACCCTGACTTCTGAACCACCGCTGCAGCCTTTCCACTTGCCTGGTGTGATACCTCACCTCTCCCAGCCTGCATTATGACTTAACCCCAAATGCAGGCCTCGGAAGGACTTCTGCTAGAGTGATTCCCACTCCTTCCCCGTGTCCCCACAGCCCTATCTCTCCCTCCTTCTCTGACTTTTAGCATAGCCAATTAAACCTGAACAACGGGTGGATGGAGGAAATATGCTGCATCTATGGAATGGTACAGCAGGGACCAGTTTCACTGTTAATTTAAAATGCTAGAATTAATTAGGTAGTGTAAATGAAGAATTTAATAAGCACTCTTTACAACCACAAGTTCTACTTTTATTAAACACTGCTACCAAATGAGGGCAAATATCTCTGGTCTGTCTATATTTCCCTGCCTCGTTCCCATAAGTTCTCTACAAATAAAACTCTTTTTTTTTTGCATGAATTAAAAAAATGCATAATTATAAATTTATGCCTGAATTGTATTTCTGCTTTCAACCCATAAGCTTCTTTAAGCTCAGATGCTACTGTATGTCTCTGCTTGTGCTGGAGAGGGTGCTAAACAAACCAAAGTTGACAATTTTGGTTTTGTATACCAAATTAAAGGCTGTCTTCGAAGCTGTCACTCCTATTCAAATCCACTCGGTGAACTACCAAATTAGCATTCTTTCAGTAAAGGAATCTGCTTGTTTAAACATGTGTCTTTAGAAAACAAGGAACAACACCATGAATCAGTACTTCTTAAAAATCTCACTACAGTTCTAAGGGAACTCTCCTGAAAAGGTGATTAATAATATTCACTAATGTAACTGGCAGAGTCTCTATTTAGAAGGTAAGGCTACACCAAAAATACATTTTCCTATACAGGAGTGGGAGGGAGAATCATATGGTTAACTGGTTTTAATTTGGTTTGAATTATCATCCTATTATATAAAGATTATTCAGGAATCTAAACATCGGCTTTCTGAAAGTATAGGCAATTTTGTTAAAGGATAGATGATCCTGGCCCTATTTGGGAAGCTTGATATAATTTTTCTGTTCTAGCCACTCTCCTTGAAGTGTACTAGCTGTATCTATAGTAATAACATCCCCCGTTTATTAAGAGACCTCTATACAACAGGCATTGTGCTAGAGCTCTATATTCAGTCTCTCATTCAATCCTCACAATAAGCCCTTTGAGGTAAGTATTATTTTTCAGTTTTACAGATGAGGAAATTGTGTTTGGAAGGTTATGTGACTGATATTTTAGAAAGCAGCACTATTACTTAAGTTTTATGATTTCGCAAAGTAATTTATAAGAGGGACAAATTTACATGTGAATTATGAGAACAGAAGATATATATATTTACATGCTCACATACACACTGTGTTCTCTGATTTAAAAGTAAGATGATGTATCTCCCTGTTGTAGTCATAGAACTTCCTCTTTTCTTTTATAGGACAGTTGCTCATCAATTGAAATGTCCAGAGAAAGGGAAACAAAAGTCAACACTCAAAACTGACAGGTACTCAAAGGCGAGCATGAATGATTTCAGGCCTGGAGTATCAGAGAGCAGCAGCTTAACTGTCATCGTTATATAGCCCAATATTTTTCTAAGAAAATATTCTCATTTCCAATAAGATTGCAGAATAATCTGCTATGCATAGGGCCTGTTTCTCCCCAGGACAATGGGCAGTGGCGTCACCTTTCCACAAGTCCACAGTGGCCCCTTTAAAACACTTGTCTCAGATACATGGAAAAACACTGGACACACACAAAACGAATGTTTGAGAGAAGTGTACATGAATAAAAACTAGCATGGAATATAGTAAGGGCAGAGGGAAGAACTGAAAACTAAAGAACAAAAGGAAGGGGTGGCTGATTAAGAATAAAAGAGGATAAAACCAAAGGGTCATTTCACATAAAGTTGAAGAAGCACCAAAGTCTTCACCTGCCTCCCAGTCCTACCAATCCACGGCATGGTTTTATGTGGTGTATACACATGTGTGTGGTGTGAGTTTATGACTGTGTATCCACACAATCTTGCACCAGGGCACATGATGCAGACACTCAGATGCATCATCATGCATGTGTATTTCTGCTAAGGTCTGCATAATGGAATAATGTAGCTGCAAATCCCACGTCTAGAATATTGAAGAAAAGCATACCTGTAATTTTGTCTCTCACAAGTTTGCAGGACTCTATTTCACCAATGCTCCCAAAGAGACTCCTGAATTCTTCTTGGGTCATATTCTGGGGTAAATAGTTGACAATGAGGTTGGTTTTGCTGTCATCTGTGGTCGCCCCTGTCTGCATGGGAGAAGGACAGTTTCTGTTGTTGCTGGAGGGTCCGTTGCTTGTATTGGATGTCGGGCCATTTGACACCTGAGGCTCCATGGTGCTAATTATCTAAATGAAAATAAAAATAATAAAAAGAAGGCTTTTGAAATATCAGACACAATTAAAGTCTCTTTTAAGATTTTATTTTATTTTGTTTTTTGAAAAGAAAGAGAACAAGATAAAGCAAAATGGAGCAAAAGAGACTGGGTTGTGAACACAGCCAATTTAGAAGCATGTTTTTAACCAAAATGTTAAACTCCCCTTTCTATTTTTAGGCCAGCCCTTAGATAGTGAACACAGACTAGAATGCAGTGGGAACTCTTCCATTATTTTGTTAATGAAAAGCTAATTCCTGTTTTCATTACACAATCACTCTCAGAAATGTATACTTAAGCCACACCAAATTATAATTAAAATGTAAAGTAATAATCATGATTAAAATTATAGTTCCATTAAAGCTGAAAAAGCTAAATATAGAGGGCTACATTCACAAGATCAAATATAGTACCTGTTTATTAACTATCTCATAAGTAAAATGACATTAAATTAAGTGGGGTTGTTCCATATGGGATGGGTTTAGATTTTCACTGATGCTTAATCACTGATCAAACTTCAGATTTCGTAAGTACATGCTGAGGACTGCAAAGTCATCTAATGATTTTTTTATCCAGCCACTCTGTAAGTATTTCTCCCAGATCTCTAATAAAACAAAAATCATGAAGGAAAAGTTTTCTCTATGTCTTCACCTCAGGTCCTGCACTGCCTAAAGCTGTTCTCTCACACATTACTCTAAAAGGATTTTCTCTGGACTTAAATATTTAGTTAAACAGAGATTTCCTTGGATGTGTGAACTGTTCCAGGCAGCATGCATGGGAATAAAGAATGAATAAAAGTCCTTATTCTCAAGGAGCTCATAGTCTGTAGAGGGCATAAACAGGTAACCAGCTTGCTGTAGGGCAATGGGCATGGAGTAGAGAAGCAACCACTGCTGCTAACAGGATAGGGGGATTCAGGGAAAGTGCTGAGAAGATGCTAGAACAGGGCGTTAGATGGGAAGTGGGTTTAAGCTCGTGGAGTCAGGTCATGAAGATGCCCTGTATGGGATGATAAACATGGAGAATCACAAAATCACAAAGCCAGAAGGAGGGAGCAAAATCTAGTTCAATACTCTCATGTTTGAGATGAAGTCCAGAGACATCAGTGACTTCTCTGTCATCACAGGAAAGTGGGGCCTGCACCCAGGTTTCCTGGCTCCAATGCAGCCCATGAGTCTCACCTCCCCATTCTATCTTATCACTATCCCCTACTTGTCCATCATGATATAGATTCTGTCTCCTCTGAATTCAATCATCAACTCCTTGGAAACGGAATCATGCTCTGTCACTTGCTAGTTGTGTAACCTTGGACAAGGGATTTAAACTCTAGGTTCCTCAGTTTTCCTCATTTGAAAAATGGGAACAAAGCCACCTCCCTTGCAAAGCAGTGAGAAGGATCCAGGGATACCATACAGATAAAGTGCTTCGATAGTGGTATAACATAACCATGATCATTGATATTTATTGAAATCACTCTGCTAATTATCTGATGTGATTTCTCTCACTGTCTCCTCACAAGAAGGCAATGAGGCATATTCTAACATTCTCTACATTTTATATATGAGGAAACCAAGGCTTAGCAGATATCTGATAACTTGTAGCTTCCATTATTATTACCATTTGGCTGCTCAGAGAATTTTCTATGGACATTTTCACTGAATATAACATACATGTTAGTAAAATGTGTAAATCTTAAGGGTACAACTCAAAGAATGTTTACCTAGTGGACACAGCTCACATCTGGGTAAACACCTTTCAGATCACAATATAGAACATGACTAGCAACCCAGAAGCCTTTCTCCCTTTCTCATGTCCCCACCCCCCTCATTTACCCCCACCACAAAGGTAACCACTTTTCTGAATTCTAGTCCATAGATTGGTTTTATCTGTTTTTCAACTTTATATTCATGGAATCATACAATACATACTCTTTTATGCCTTCTCACTCATGTCACTATGAGTGTAATCTGTGTTGTTACATGTAGCAGTAGGTTGTTTTTCACTGCTATTGAGAATTTCATTATATGGAAATATCACATTTTATTTATCTGTTGATGAATGTTTGGATTGCTTCTAGGTTTGAACTACTACAGATAATCTGCTATGAACCTTATGTACATGCATTTTGGTGCATATATGCACACGTGTCTGTTGGGGATAGACCTAGGGTTCTGTTTTTTGGGTTATAGGGTGTATGTATGTTCAGCTTCAGTAGATACTGCCAACAGTTTTTCAAAGTGGTTGTTCCACTTTATACTCCCATCAGCACAGTAGGAAAGTTCCACTTGCTCCATATACTCATCAATGTTTGGAGTTTGTTATTTTGTTTTTGTTTTTGTTTATTTTCTTATCTGAAGCAGAGTCGCATAGTAAAAAAGGAATGAGTTTTTGAGTCCAGACAATAGCTGACTTAAAATCCTAGTTCGACCACATATTAGCTATGTGATCTCAGGCAGGTTACTTCAATACTCTGAGCCTTGGTTTCCTCTTCTGTAAAACTAGGAGAAAGCCTGCCCTTTCAGGATTATCTCCCAGATGAGAGCTCATATATATCAAGTCTCTAAAACACAAAGTGCTTAGAGGCATTATAACTATTATTCCTCATCATCTCCACATAGGTGAGAGTTACTCTCATTGTTTCCTCTTCTAATAGTCACAAATGGATAATGAAACCATAAGAAAAACATAAAGTCTCAAGAGGAGCCAGGGAGATAAAGTGGATTAAAGAGGGTGGGGAGTGTCTAAGATTCTTTACCATCACGTAAGTAACTTAAGTGGCTCCACTTCTCCCATCACCAGAACTTTCTTCTTGGCTTCAGGTCAACTGTAGAATTCTAGAAGGCTGGTCCAGACAGCAAGGAGAAAGCGAAAAGCTTCTGAGAAGAATCTTAAATCAAGCTGTCTTCATGATGGATAGAAATTGTACACAGCAAAGCCTATTCAGCTGCTCTGTCCTTGAGGCAAGGGTCCAGGAACAGAATCAGGGGGCTGGGCCCAGGGGAGGGAGGCATGCTAATGGAGAGGATGTTACAGAGCATCAGCGCAGCTCCTGGCTGGGAGGCAGGTTTCAGCTCTGCCAAACCGTTGTCGGGCCTCCTGGGTCTGTGCAGAGCCTCTATTTGCTGTGTTGTCTCACTGCTTCACTGAGTTAGGTGTCCAGGCAACAAACACAAGAAGCACTGCCAGCTCAATAAGGAACTTGAAATTCAGAATTTATCCATTTCAGGAGGCCCAGCTGGCAGAACCACAAAGCTGCCCAACTACTACATTTTGATTTAATGGCAAAAAACCAAAACAAAGCAAAAACCAAAAACTGTCCCACAATCTATAGATCCTCTTCTCTGCTCTCCACCTTTCTCAGGTTACTGTTCTTTTGGCTCCCCTTACAAACGCCCAGAAAATATTCTGCACCGAGGCAGGTTTTTTGGTGCTAATAATGGAGTATGTAAGTCACATCTAAGCATGATGAGATTCTTTGGGCCCAAAGCTGTTTAAAGTCACCTGATGGCCAGATTCATCTTTTGTTCACTGGATGCTCACCTCACAGACACGTGGTGAAAGCGAGCACTTGTCCACGTGAACATCTCACAGGTCCACCTGCTCCAGAAAAGCCTAGGAAGTAACAAGCCTGCAGCAAAGTAATTTCAGTCGTCCCATCAGCATTGTGGATCTCCTTATATCTTATGTGGATTTCTAATTTATGTTCACTCCTGGAGTTGAGCCCTATCTATAGATTAGATAACCCCAGCTGGGCTCAAACCTTCAAAAATGAGCCATGAGATGCAATATTCACTACTGAGCTACTTCAACTGACCACATCTATAAATTAGGTCATGTCATTCTCATTCAATGAAGACAGAGCTTTCTTTGCTCTGCACACATACTACACAGTTATCCTTTTGTGTATCCAGAAAGAACTGATGCAAATGTACACATACACACACTGAACTTTCTCAATAAAAATTTGCAAATGTGTTAATATACATTATATAATAAGACCCCTCACTGGTCTTAATGATGCCTCCCAGGACGCAACATAGGTTAAAAAAAAAAAATCAGAAATGTAATATGTCGGAATAAAATCTGACATGTGAGTGAATCGGTAGGATTTTAAAACATCGTCTGGAAAATAAGAGAAGTTGCCAAGATGCAAAGATATTGAATGCACGAATATGAAACTACAGCATTTTAAGGGACATGACAGATCTTAAAGAGAGGACACCTGTACTCTCTACTTGGGAGACAGACCAGAGGTAGAAAAGATGTATGTTGGTGAAGCACATCCTCCAATAAGCACAGAGGCTGACTGGGCAAAATCAGAACACTTGTTTCCTCAGGCTAACACCTTTGATATTCCAACAGCACAATTTTCATTGCAAATAAATATATCAGTTATTCAAGTGTGCATATGTACTTTAATGAAACATTCTGTGTGGGTCTCACAGCCAACTTTGCAGCTGACCAGGTTCCAAACCCCTGACTTGCCCTCCTTTCCCATTCTGAATGGCAATTAAGAACAGAATTACAGTCAGCATCCAGGATAGAGAATTGAGGAGGTTCAGTTGACTTCAAACTCTAATGGTTGTACAAAGCACTACATTAAATCTTTTATGTTCCTGTGATATATTTTAAGAAACATTATACAGGCAGAAAATTTCAGGGATAAACTATTAGAACAGCGCATAATAACGTAGGCACTCAAATCCTGTCATTGTAAATGTCGATGGTTTGAATGACTAATTACTCACACTCAACACATTAACCTCACCCCTCCTTCCACTCTTTTCTGCAAAATATACAACAAAAGCAAGAGGGAAGGCCTCAGACGTGCAGCTGCCAGATCATCACTGGGGCCGTTTATCTATGCAAAGGGGAGGTAAGGAGCAGAAGCTGGGCCAACCTTCTCAGGGTGCTCCGCCCCCCACAAAAAAGCCAACCCTCTCTGCCTTTCATGACACCTTCCTTGCCACAATC